CTCAAAATCTATAAGCAGGAGGAAATAAGGGAAGGGGTAATAGTATTCAACAACAATTGTATGCATTTCCTTACCTACATAACTGTAACCCCACTGTACATCACCTTTACAATAAAAAAAAATCTATGGGAAAGCTTAGATAAGGAAGGCCTGCATAATATAAACCCACTAAGAATTAGTTCAGCCATGAAAAGCTGTTTACCACATTTGCTACTATAGCTACCTTCGTGTAGACAAACATGAAATATGCTAAACATTTATGAGGAAATAGGTTCTTTAAAAAATTGAAGGAATATTATCTTTTGAAATTTCCTTCTTGACAGTTATCTACAGCGATTTTCCTGCCAAATATTCCTTTGTTGGAGTTAGGAAGTATTCTAGGCTATTATTTTGTACGGCCCATCCATTATTGATGTATTCTATGGGAAAGAACTCCATCACCACTAGGAAACGGAAGCAGTCCATCTCAGACTGAAATGATTTTATGCTTACCTGAAAGAAATGCTATTTTCACTTTTAATTAGAAAGGCCTATCCTTCAGAAATTGCCTTGTTTCTTATTGCCCTGTTCTAACGCCTACAGAAGAAATAAATGACTTTGCAGTCAGATTCTTCATGTTTGACTTTGGCTCTGCTCTGAGGACACTGTGCCTTAGCTTGGTCCTGTAACCTGGCTGCTTTCGGTGTCTTGATCTGTGTAGCAGGGACTGTGTGGTGGTCATGTGTATGGGCCTGCAGACTGGAGGCAGGAGAATGGACCCAGAGACCCAGCCGCTACAACAAAATGTCTCTGAACTTGCTGGGTGGGTGCATTTCCCCTGCCCTGCTCTCAGCTAGAAATAAAGTGTACAGGGACTGTGAGGGCATTGTTCCAGGAGACTCTGAACTCCTCTGGTGTCTGGCTTTGCCTCTGTGGCAACCTGTCGAACTTTCCTTACTCTGTAGTTAATCTAAGACACATCTATCTCTGTTCCCACATACAGTGCTACACAGTGTGTGTGTGTGTGTGTGCGCACACACACGCACGTGGATGCATACTGACATAGTGTCTGATGACCAGCCTAATTCCCCCAAGCCTTTCTCATTTGCTCTCACCCATACATTCCCCCTAATAAAATCCAACACCTTTAACCCTTTCAGTATATCTGCTTCTGCAAGTCCTGGACGCACAGTGTAGTAAATCTTGTAGTGAGACTTGAATGCCAGGCCCGTAAGCAGAAACACATCTGATCAGTTGATGAGAATGTTGTGATCAACCACAGGCCCGCAAGAACCTAAGTCTGTGTTTCATCTAGAAGTAATAGATCACCATGCTCATTCAGTGGAGGGTCTTTATAAACATTTGTTTAATTGCTATAAAAAAGATGATATACATAAGTCAGATAAAGTACATTTCTTTATGGACAATGTCACCCTTTCCCTCACTCTTTCCCAGTATTTCCCTCCCATCCTCACCCACAAGTTGTATAGTTTATTCTCAACCTAGTATCCAGTGAGTACCAATGATGCATTTGTTTACCCTTTGTCCCTCCATTTCTGTGCCTCCCCTTACCCTCCCAAAGACAGATAAATGAGCAATAAATAAATAAAAGGAAACAAAAACAGCAAAAAAGAAAAAAAATCCCTCTTGTTTCCATTTCTTGGAGTTCATTTCAATAAATATTATTTTGTATGATCAGATGCGCAGAGGCATTGCGCTTTTGTGTTTCTCCCCTAAGGGTATCTACCCTCGTTTGATCTCACTCTGTGACTGCCAAGAAACCTGTACAATTTATCATGTCCCAGTGTATTTTAGATCTAGCTTCTGCATTTAAGAGAAAACATGGGCCATTTGTTTCTCTGGAACAGCTTATTTTTACATTTCTTGAGGACCCAGCAAGGTCTCTCTTTCTCTCTCTCTCTCTCACATCACCTATCACAGATAGCAAATGGAGAGGCCAAGTGACAGTTTCAAGGTTGCCCAGTGACTAATGAGCTTGGGTTAGAAACCCTGGTTTCTCTTCCAGTGCACTGCAAGCTCAGGCTTTGGCAGACTCTGTTCTAACTCAGCTGGAGCTGGCCTAAAAAAACCTTTCTCAAGTCCAGTTCTGCACAGCCTCAGGGATGCTAGAAGATCTGGAGACATCCGCCATGCAGCTCAGTGAAGGAAACTTGGCTTTACCTGACCTCCCTGCTCAGGCTTGTTAGCTGGCACTCGAGAGTGTGTTCCTTCAGTAAACCCCATCATGGCCCAGCCCCTTATGTCCATTCAGTGTTCAATAATTGCTTGTTGAGGTAGTGGTCATTCTGAGGAACATGTGGGTATGTAGCAATAACAATATGACATTGTATAGCACACACTATGTCCTATGCTGGGAACTCCATGAAGTTTTTAAGGGTAGTGAGGGAGATAGGCAGGCTGAATATGCCTGGAAGAGCCCAGGAGGTCTTTGTGGAGGAGGTGGCTTTGGGTTGAGGCTGAGGAGGATGGGATTTTTGTCAGGGAGGTGAAGGTGTCCCAGAGCTGTTGATTGGTTGCCCCTGTGTGCTAGGCTCTGTACATAGGCTGGAGATAAGGGGGCAAAGGGTAGTCATGGAGGCTGCTCTTGGAGCTTTCAGGCTAGTGAGCTGGAGGAGAAACAATCAGATTCCATCAGCAGACTGGTGAATGGAGTGCTGGGCCAGAGAAACCTGATCTAGTGCAGGGTGTATTAGTTTACTGAGGCTACTGTAACAAGCTGTCCCAAACAATGCTAATTTATAATCATGTGGTTCCAGAAGTCAACTACTCAAAATTGGTCTCAGCTGAATTGTGAGTAGAGATGGTTCCCTTTGGAGGCTGGAGGAGGTGGGGGAAACATTTCCAGCTTTGAACCTAGAGGAATCATATCCCTTGATTTATGATTACATTTCTCCCATGTCTGCTTCTGTCTTTACATTCTAACTTTACCATCCGCTTGTGTGATTATTCCAGGCCTACCCATAATATAAGATCATCTCCTCTCCCAGAGATGCTTAGTTTAATCACATCTCCAGAGGCTATTTTCTTACACGATAAGGTGACCTACTCATAGGTCTTGGGTATTAGGATGTGGGCATCTTTAAAGGCTGTTATCCTGCCTACCATGGGGTATGGAGAAGAGGTACTTCGAGAAGTGGTGTTTAGCCCAAGATCTATGGGTCAGAGCTGAATGGAAGTAGAAGCAAGGACGTGACTTAGGAGGCTCTTGGATTGGTTCAGACAAGGTGTGATGCTAGCTTGTGTAAGGCCGGCGGCCATGGGGAAGTAAGAGGCACAGAAGACGGAGAGGCACAGAAAGGCAGAGAGAGTGGGAAGCACAGACAATGTTAAAGAAAAGCCTATCCCAGGATCACCCCAGTGCCCACAAGTACCTGCAAGTGGGAAACTCAGGAGAGGGGTGGCGAGAACACAGTACTCAGTAGCTGTTGCTAATTTAAAGAGTATTCCGAGACTCCAGAGAATCTTGTTCTCATGTGAAATCCAGGTGAAATGGATACAAACTGGGCAGAGTCGTACTCACAAAAAGACCCATTTCCAAAGAGAAGAGGGTGATTTGAGGGCATAGGAGCAGAGCATGATGTTTACATATTTTGAGTCTCCTAATTGTTCACCCAGACAGCTCCATGTTGTCGATCATTGATATTTTCATAAGATGGGATTTGAACTCAAGGTAGGCACTTTAACCTTTGAGCCATGCCTTCCTCCGGCACTTACAGGTATTCTAAATGAGGAGTGACATACTTGATCATTGATTCAATTGGCCTGCATAATGGAGTCTGAGCAGGTTAGCTCCCCCTGGAATGAATGGATTTGCTTGCTCAACTCAGGTAATTAGGTTTGTCATCTCTTAATTCCTTATTTATACAACAGGCAGGCCATAGCAAGGCAGAGGCCATAATGAGAATGAGAATAACAGAGCAAGAACAAAATAAAAATGTAACCACTATCCACAGAACAGTTCCTTGAAAGGCACGAGAACTTTACGTTCCCAACACTGTCTTGAACTTCCTGACATTGTGGAAGGGCCACCAGCTTAATGTATTTATATCTAAGACAGAACAGAGAACCTTTACAGAGAACCAATGACCTTAGAGAATTGTTGGTGTTATGAAAACCAGGGGAAATTTCCTGTCTAATGGCTCCTTACTGGCAGACAAAAGAAGAAAAATACTGTCACTAATAGATCAGGAGTGGTTACATCCAAGATAATGCATTTCCTATTAAGCAATACAATTGGGAATTTCTATTATTCCTATTGTTTCCCCACTCCCCCAGGAAACCAGGTTAATAGACTTAAAACATCGCTCTTGCTCTCTTCCCTAATTATAGCCACCTGTCTTTTTCTTTGTCTTTACTACTTAATCGTTTTTGAATGCCCAAACCTCTCTTGTGTCTAACTTTTGGCTTTTCTCCCTTACAGCAAAATCATCCTTTCTCTCTTTTTCTCCTCTCTCTCTGTCTCTCTGTGTGTCTCTCTCTGTCTCTGTCTGTCTGTCTGTCTGTCTGTCTCTCTGTGTTTGTTTTGTGACAAGATAGGCCTTTCAAGTTGATGAAGATTCATCTCTTCTCCCGTACTGGGATAAAAAGCTGAGCATACCTCTCCTGTTTATTTTTCTCCAAGTTGAACACTGCCTGTTTTTCAAACGTGGTGATCTGTCATATTTCCCGCACACTGCTTAACCAAGGGTGCTAAGGGAAAGAGATGAATTATAAATAACAGAGAGATGACTTTCCAATATAGACCTTTGTGGAAAACAGCATTTCAAACCCTATCAGCACACTGTACTTTAAAATTAGGACTGCTGGCATTTGTTTTTAAGAACTACAAACAGGCACCTAGCAACTGATCAAGTTCCCTCACTGCAGGCTGGGTGAACCTTTTTTTTTTTTTTTTAAATCTTCACATCTGAGAGCTGGTGCTTTGTTTTGGTTATTGTATTTGTCAATAAACTCTCTTTCCCCCTCTCTCCCCTACCCCGCCTCCCCGCTTGCTCCCGCAGTGGCGGTCCCTGCAGCTGTCCCTCCAGTGTGCCAGCCCAAGAGTGCTGCTAACGGGCACCATCCGGCTGCTCCTCGCCTCTCCATTTCCTCCAGAGCCACGGTGGTAGCCAGAATGGAAGGTGCCTCCCAGGGGGGCCTGCAGACCGTCATGAAGTGGAAAACAGTGGTTGCCATCTTTGTGGTCGTCGTGGTCTACCTCGTCACTGGTGGCCTCGTCTTCCGGGCTCTGGAGAAGCCCTTCGAGAGTAGCCAGAAGAACACCATCGCCTTGGAGAAGGCCGAATTCCTGCGGGATCACATCTGTGTGAGTCCCCAGGAGCTGGAGACTTTGATCCAGGTGAGCAGGGTCTAGGTATGTGCTGCCAGATCGGCATCCAACAACCCGCAGGGAGGGAGGGCAGCTCTGAGTTCTGCCTGGGCTGGTGATGCTACTGTGGTTTAGGGACATCTTCCCTTTGGGGTTGTGATATTTGACCTGAGACATGAGGGGTGTGTGACTCTGTGTGTGTGTGTGTGTGTGTGTGTGTGTGTGTGGTGCAGGGAGAGGGATCACTGACTCCAGTGGCCTTAATGTGGGACCTGGCCATGTCTGCTATCACCTGGAATTCGATCTGGAGATCATGAGGCAGCAGCAGACCAAAGGAGGTTGAGATGTTCAAGTTCAAGCCTACCCCTGTGTTCATTAACATCCTGGTTCTGAGCTTTTTGGAAAATATTGGAGTAAGAAGGTTGCCGAGAAACCAAAGAATGGAAGCGGTTGAAACATGAAACAAGCTCTGTGTATGTGTGTGTGTTGGGTGGATTACTGGTCCCAAGTCTACAAGGATAAAGGAGAAAAAAAGCTCCAAGCATGTGGATGAACAAGCTGTTGGTGGCTTGAGAAAACTGTGTGTTTTTCCCCACTAAAAAAAAAATTATCTTGGGCTGGGAAGGTGGCTCAGTGGTAGGGTGCTTGCCTTGCATGCTCGAGGCCCTGGGTTCGATTCCTCAGCACCACATAAGCAAAAAGAAAAAGCTGGAAGTGGCGCTGTGGCTCAGGTGGTAGAGCGCTAGCCTTGAGCTGAAGAGCTGAGGGACAGAGCCCAGGCCCAGAGTTCAGGCCCCACGACCAGACCCCCCCAAAAAATTATCTTTAAGTGGTTGTACAAAGGAGTTGCCATTTAATGAAGCAGTTTATGAATATATCTTGATCAATGTCATCCCTTTCAACATTTCCACCTATCCCCTTTCCTGTCCACTCCCCCTCATCTTCTTAATTTTGTAGGATATACATTGGATTCTTGTCTGAATTCTCCCTCCCGTCTCCCCTTAATTCGCCGGCCTCTTTCCCCTTGGCCCCACCCTACGCCTTTTGAGTACTTCCTTTCTGGTGTTGTATTTTGTTGAACTTTGACTTTGCCTTTCTAATGAATTATACTTTGTGAGTTCTTCTTTGAATCTAGCATATTTCCACGAATACATTTGTATACACTTACATACCACCCAATGTATTTACTTATAAGATTGTAAGCTAGCTTCCACGTATAAGGGAAAATACACATGCATCCTTTATTTCTCTGGCCTGACTTACTTCACTTAACATATTTTTTTAGGTCTTATTTTTTTTAAAGGTACAATATCACTCTTTCTAACAGATGAGTAAAATTCTACTGTGTGTATATACCAAACTTTCTTGATCCATTTGTCCATGGAGGGACATCTGGGCTGATTCCGTACCTTGGCTGTGGTGGTTGCACTGGTGATTTTTACTGTATCCTGGTTTGTAATCTTTTGGGTAAATGCCTGGCAGTGGAATGGCTGGGTCATAGGGTTTAATTTCTGAGGATCCTCCACACTGCTTTCCAGTGTGGTTGAACAAGTTTACATTCCCAGCAACAGTGTATTAGGATTCCCATTTGGCCACATCCTTACCAGCATCTGTTATTGTTTGTTTTCTTCATAATGGCCATTCTAACTGAGGACCATGTTGTTTTGATTCGTATTTCCTTTGTGGCCAGTGATGTTGACTATTTCTTCATGTATCTATTGGTGACAGTTTTTTTTTGTGGGTTTATGGAGATGAAGTCATAAGGCTCAGAGTGATTATAATCATCAAGTTTGTTTTTTCTTTTTCTTTTTTTTCTGGTCCTGGCAGGGCTTGAACTCAGGGCCTGGGCTCTGCCCCTGAGCTTCTGTGAGTAAGGTTTGTGTTCTACCATTTGAGTCACAGCTCCACTTCTAGCTTTTTGGTGGCTAATTGGAGGTATCTCATGGACTTTCCTGCCTGGGTTGGCTTTGAACTGTGATCTTCAGATCTCAGCCTCTTGTGTAGGCTCGAGCCATCAGTGCACAGCTTAATCTTGTTGTTTTTTGAACATTTTCTATGTCAGGTTTAGGGCTAAGGCCTGGTGTCCATGAGACCTTGGATGAAACTTGGAAGAAGTGAGGCAGGGCGGGCTTTGTCGGGAAGGACTATGGTAGTGGAAGGATAATCAGGAGAGTTGAGAAATCTGGGAAGCCTGAAAAAAAAGAAGAGCCAAATCCCATGAAGAGGGAAGCGGTTGAATGATCACTTTAAGGACTCTTCTTTGGGGGATAAGGACACCAGCTACCGATGAGGTCGCAGATCTCTCTTCTAGACACCATCCTGTCCCTTAAAATGCTGGGGAGGAATGGATGGCCATGACATTGATGGAGACTTACAGGGAAATTTTTATTTTTCTGGATGTTATAAAGTTTAGAAGGAAAGGAATGAAAAAGATAGCTTTTACCAATCCTTCTGGCTTTGGGATTGTATTACATTTTAATGGCTACCACCGTCCAGAATTGTGTAGCAATGAGAAATCTGGATTGGCTTATTATTTACTTATTTCAAACAACTCTAAATGCTAATTCTACTTATGAGTGAGCATCTTCATAGCAATAACATTTGTTTAAATTAGTCTTAGTCATATAACTTGCTTCTTAAACAGAAGAACAAATTTCCTCACCTTTGGGATTAATTATGATTTTATAACCATTTTTGCAATTTTTATTAAAATGAATCTTTTCCACATTAAAATCCAAGGGTGAGAATGTTGAAAGGAGTGCTATACATCAAGATATAGTGTATTCGGGGCTGGGAAGGTGGCTCAGTGGTAGAGCGCTGGCCTTGCATGCCTGAGGCCCTGGGTTCGATTCCTCAGCACCACATAAGCAAAAAGAAAAAAAGCCGGAGGTGGCGCTGTGGCTCAAGTGGTAGAGTGCTAGCCTTGAGCTGAAGAGCTGAGGGACAGCGCCCAGGCCCAGAGTTCAGGACCCACAACCGGACCCCCCCCCCAAAAAAAGATATATTGTATTCATAAACTGCTCTGTTAAATGACAATGCTGTTGTTGCAGTTACTTAAAGGTAATAATAAAAATATTCTAAAAAATATCTGAGGGCAGTGTTTTATATCAACCTTTCATAGTAAGGGAATTCTTTTGCATGGATGGCCTAATTTTATTTTGTTTGGGAAAATGCTACCCAATTTGTGTTGATGAGCATATTGGACCAATTGATGCCAAATCTGAGGCCTTATATACAATAGGGAGAGAGAAACAATTGTGGAGTAGTTTTAAGTAAGAATATCATTAAGTTTGCACATAGTGTTAAGAGATATGCTGGGAACATTTTTTTTTCCAGTGGCACATAATTACATTAGACAGTAATGTAGAAAATGATCTGAATTGAGCCTCATAACACAGTTGAGAAAAGGGATCATGTCGTAATATCTTTGCTATGTGTATGGCCTATACATTACTTTATATCCAATTACTGCCCAACAGATAAATGCTTTTGAGTGAGATATCAAAGTACATCTTAGACACTGGTGATGTCACAAGACTTGTGAACTTACTTATTGATTAATTCAGTGCTAATTATTGTCTATTCTTTGATTCTTTATTACATAAAAGAGCTCAGAGGCAATAATATAGATAACAGGATGGTGGAATGTTGGAAGTCTTAATTCTGGTGCTGGTATTAAGATGTGTATTAAGACAGGAGATTTCCCTATTCTTAGGGTGCTGAAAGATTAATTATAACAATGGATTTAATTGGACTGTGCTGGTACAGGGTAAAGGGTAGATAATTGCTGCTTTTGCTATTCTTGTTTACTCAAGGAGATAATTGTTTTTCTGTTCTTCCCCCCTCTTTTATCTGTACTAGTACTGGAATTGAATTCAGGGCCTTGATCCTGTCCCTTAGCTTTTTCACTCAGGGCTGACACTCTACCACTTGTGCCACAGCTCCACTTCAGGCTTTTTGCTGGCTGATTAGACATATGAGTCTCATGGACTCAGTCCTGGTTGGCTCAAATAATGATCCTCAGATCTCAGCCTCCCAAATAGCTAGGATTACAGATACAAGCCATGGGTGCTTAGTGGAGCTAAATCTTAATGGGGGTCAGTGGAAGGGTGGTTAGAATTGCCTTAGTGAGTGTTTGGAAGGCTCTGAAGAGACTTGTGGTTGTGGAATTTTTATCCTTTCTGAATGGAGTCTCAGGTAGTCTAGTACTTGGGCTTTAAAATGTGCTTGATGAATTTGCCATCATTTATTAAACAATGACTGCATATATATTACTGAGCCTCATTTTGGCTCTTCCTATTTCTCCAGAAAGTAGTCTTCTTCCTCCTCCTCCTCCTCCTCCTCCTCCTCTTCCTCTTCTTCCTCTCCTCCTCCTCCTCCTCCTTCTTCTTCTTGTCCTCTTCCTCCTCTTCCTCCTTCTCCTCCTCCTCCTCCTCCTTCTTCTTCTTTGGGGGGGGGGCACACCTGGACACTATCCCTGAGCTTCTTTTGCTCAAGGCTAGCACTCTACCACTTGAGCCACAGCACCACTTCTGGCTTTTTCTGTGTGTGTGGTACTGAGGAATTGAAACCAGGACTTCATGCATGCTAGGCAAGCACTTTACCACTAAGCCACATTCCCAGCCCTGAAGTAGCCCTTCTTATTGATCCATTTTACAGCCTCACCCCTCACTAGTGACAAAATCAGAATCAAATCTGACTTTCTCCAAGCCCAGAGCCTACACTTGCTCACTTAGATTTTCTTCCAGGCTGGACACAGTAGATAATAGAGTGTATACCGAATCCTCAGGAGAAATCCACTCAGATGGCCTGGTGGAAGAGCTCCATTGTGAGAGGCAGTGCTTGCCCACTGATATGGAGTATCTATCATATTCTCTCTCTCTCTCTGCTGAATTGGGAGCCTTCTGCATACATAAGGCTGTGGTGTGGGAGTTTTGGCCTCTGGGGGGGAACTGACCTGGTCCATCAGCTGTGCTCCTTGGGTATGGGAAACTGCATGAAAGACAGTGTTTCAGGCTGTAGTCTTGGGCATGGACCTTTGATTGATGTTATAGTAACCATAGCTGCTATTTTGGAGCTAAGGACAGGGCTAGAGATCATGAACTGCCTACTTATTCTCTTTAAGAGAGGAGATGTGGGAGTAATTTTTCATGGTCCTTGACCGTTTTCCAAGGCTGTAGCATTGCCAAGACCCACAGCCCTCACTCATGTATCCATTTATACATTCACTATATTTATTGATTGCCTACTCTATGTCAGACAGTGCCAGGTACTGGAGCAGAAAGGTGAATGCCTCCAAGACAGTTATGGTCTTTCTTTTTGGACTTTGCAGCTAGCATGACCTAATATTCCAGTTTTTGTGGTTTGAGAGTAATTGTTAATATTACCCATTTATCTCTCAGAAAAATGTCCTGGCTTCAAAACTAAATGATCTCTGTAGATAGTGAGAGAGGCAAACCTCATGCATAAAATCACATAAATACATACAAATGACTTCAGGATGAGAGTTTCAAAGGAGAAGGAGCTGGGGTCATACGAAAACTGAGCAGAAGATCTGACAGTGCAGCAAAGGGATTTGAGTATTTGTGGGTATAACTGCCAAGATTCTGTGTTGGGAAGAAGAAGTATGAACCTCCTGCCTGAGGATTTGGGCAAGATGGACACATTTGGCAAGAGGTCATTTTGTAAAGGAACTTGGTAGACAATTAGGCTGGAGACAGGCAGGTACCAAATCAGGCAAAGGCTGATTTTGGATCTTACCTTAAGAAACTGCAGTGGTTTTAAATACCAGGATGCCACGATCTGATGAATGAATCAGTTGCTGTTTGGTCCTTTATGGAAACCCAAAGGGTAGTAGTGGTAATGATAAGTTGGCCATTCATTTATTCTTTTCATTCAACATCTAAACATTTATAGAGGGCCAACTGTGACACTCTGATAAGTGCTTTGCTCTGGAATTCTGAATTGATTTCATCCTCGGTGGTGTCAAAATTTACTTCTGTGGCACCCTCGGTGGGCCCTCCATTTGCGTAGTAGTGCCCTTCTTGACCCCCTGGCCTCCAGCATTCACATTTGTCACCACATTTCTGGACTCGATGAAGATTGCTCATCTCCCTCCTTACCCATGACTGAGCTCTTCTGAGGTTGAGTTATGTGTGTTTTATTGATATACTGGCATGTGCCTAACTCATGCCTTTTTAATTTCATTTTGGAGATCATGAACTCTTCCTTCAGGACTTTCAGAGGAGCCAAGCAGAAAATTATTTTGTTTCTTTGGGACACAACTTTCCTTTTGGTTTGTTGTCAGTATTGCTGTCAACAAATCACCTCTCTCTTGCTTATGTGTGAACAGATTTCCTTGGTACGTATATTTTCCCAAAGCTTTACATATTTGGAATGAAAGGACTTCAAGGAAAGCAGACAATCAGAAAGTATTTTGAGATATTCATGTACCAGGCTGTGGAAATGTTCCCTGTGACTTTAGAATGTGAGGCTAGACCAGCCCTTCACTTTCCCTGAGTTCAGACAGCAACCCAACCTCTGGTGAGTGCAGGTTTGGGTCCTTTGTGCCCAGGGACACAATTCTGAAGTGACTCTTCTTGGTTGTTGACATGGAGTCAGAAGCTCTGCCCTTTAGTCAGTGAATCAGTCACACAGAAGATTGCTCATTGCATGCAAGATTGGGCCTGTGGCCCCCAGCTTGCCTCTGCAGGCCTTGACTTCATTATTATTACTGCTTTTCTCCCTGGGGTTGTTGATTCTGTCTCTCTTCTCTGCAGAAGTGCTAAAGCTTTTAAGCTGCACATTTAAAGAGGTAATGGAAATTGGCAAGCCCCTGGAAAATGAATTTGCAAATGAGAATTCAATGTTCTGAAAAACAAAACCCCAAATCTCCTATAAAAATTAAGCCAAGACCCAGAGATGATTGCTACTGTGCTGACCTTTCTGTACAAATGCACCTATGTTGGATCTTGTTTGAAGTGTTGCTGTATACACAATGGGTGATTATTTATTATTTGATATATTAACTTGATGTATTACTTATTCTTACTACTCATAATAAAATGTATTTAAATAACTACATATATACTGAATATCTTGGATATGTCAAGCTCTCATGATTCTAGATAATGATTAATAATAATAAAATATAAAAACAACAAGCGCAAACATATGTCTTCCAGGAGCTTGCAGCAGAGCATTTGCTAGCTCACACTTACCAAACGCTTACTTCTTTATTTGCTTTATATAGAGTAGCTCATTCAGCCTTGACAATGATCCTGGGATGGGAGCAAGCAACAGAGGAACACAAAAAGGGAATAATGTGTCCAAGCTTAAGTGAGAGACAGAACTGAGATGCATAGTAGCCAGTCTGGCTTCAGAATTAATGCTTCTTTTGACCACTACTCTTGAGTTGAGCAGAGAAGCTTGGCTTGGATAGTGAGTCCAGTGTGTGTGGTTCTAGAGGACAGAAAGCACTCAGGACATTATTACATAGCGGGAGCCTTCAACTCAACCCTCAGGACCCCTGAGAAAGCAGCGGGGCGGGTTGGGGGTCATTCACCTGAAAATGTAATCTGGAGAGTGATGATTGCCTGCTTGCTCATCTCCTCAGGGGTTCGTGGCTTTGTGAGTTTAACATAAGGTGGTCAGGCTGGGTCAATGTGTTCTGTATGCAATCAATGTACATAATTCATCACTCAGGCTTGCAGTTGTGTAGCTTATCAATGTGGATTGAGAACATTTATTTTTCCCATCTCAATGGAAATAGGAAGCAGAGGTGAAAAGTGTGGTTCAGGTGAGCTGTACTGAGTAAGGGAGGATTTAACCTTTTGTTCTGTAAAAAATGGGGACCAGAAATACAATTCTGACGTGTTTTTCTTGTCCTGGAAGGTGACTTATCAGATAAGCTTTAATAAAATGTGTATAAGCCAGACAGAGTTTATTTGTAAAGGATAGCGGAGGTCAATGTTAAAGGAGAGGACTTTAACCAGTCTCAGCGAACACGTAACCGCCTTTTAACCACTTGGTCCCTGGTTGGGTTCTTGCTGCATCTTGTTTCATTTGTAAAATGAGAGAAGTGTCAGGACCCGTTTATTACAGGGGTTTAGTGGAAAGGATCCAATAACATAAAAATGCTGGCTGCTATGATGATTTTAAAGGCCATTCTGGATCTTTCTTCAGTCTCTAGAAACTGTTTCCACTTTCTAGTCTGCCCCCTTATCAAACTGTGCTCATTAGGCACCTGCTGCTCTTTGGTACTGACCCATTCTCTAAGAGGATGCAAGACATGGCATTTTATTTATTAATATCGTACAAGAGCAGTAAGGAGTCTAAAGAAAACAGCAACAACAAAAAATAAGACAGGAGGCTCTCTCTCTCTCTCTCTCTTTCTCTCTCTCTCTCTTTCACTCTCCCTCACACACACATACACACACACACACACATGTGCATATACCACACCACACACAAGATTTTGCTATTATAGCCCAAGCAGTCTGTAAACTCATGACACTGTTTCCTTGGCTTCCTGAGTCCTGAGATTACAGGACTGCGCCTATCCTGTCTAGTTCATAATCTCTCTGTCTCTCTCTTGAATGTCACTGATCATCAATAGAAGGAATATTAATCTTTCATTTAGTTCACACTGCAATGAATCAGAATCACTATAGCTTTTCTAGCCTAGTAAATTAATTATTTTCTTCATCTTTCATGTCAAGAATTGAATAGACTCGTGTTAGATAGGAATAATCTAAAGTGAAGATACATCAGTATTCTTCTCAGGACCAGGGAGACTTTTTTCTTCCTCTTCTTTAACATCACTTGGCAAATTTGTTATTTGGTCAGCGGAGGTGGAACCCAAACTAAGATGAAAGGGGGATGGTTAGTTACTCTGAACGCTCATTGATCATATCAAAGCGCGCGTGCGCACACACACACACACACACACACACACACACACATCCCTTCCCTTCCTTAAGGCTCAGTGCTTTCCTTAGCGTTGAACGTATCTTTCATTTTATCCTGTGAGATAGTCAAAGAGGGAAGAAATATTACAGTCTACATTTTAGGCATAATTTGGAAGATAAGCAAGCTCCTTCAAATGTGCCTGGGTCGGTCATTACATATACCCAAGGTACTAATGCCTCGAGTGCTGGAACATCTCCCATTCCCCGCCTACAGAATTAATGTAGGATCACAGGGAAAAGCCAGCCTGTCTAGGACATGGGCTATGTTAGCCAAGCTGGCTCATCCGGGGTTTCTTTTATTCTCCACAGATTCTTTGTCTTCTTCTTCTTCTTCTACCTTCTATTGGTGGCATTCACTGCATATTTATAACCAGGTTGTCAAGTTCTGATGAAGGTCTGCTGCATGGCAGGCCTCCTCTGGGGACCCGAGAAAAGGCTAGTATCTGCACATAACTAAATACTCAGTGCTGACGGTATACCCTCCCCTTGGTGCCTTCTCTTGGGCTTTGTGTGGCACGTGGAGATGGTGGAACAGTGAAGATGGCCACTTGGTGATGGCAGATCCACTCAGGTCAGCACAGGCTTGGCTGCTAGACTGACAATCTCCCTTATGGAAAGAATGACAACCCGTGCATTCGTTTCCTTCCTGTATCCTGAGCCTTGTGCAGATAGTTGGGATGTCCTAGCTTGGGTGTGAGCTGGGGTGGTAAGCAAGCTGGGTCAAGAGTGATATGGGAAGAAGGAAGACTCAGGGTGGAGAGAATCTACCTTTCCCGCATTTAGCACAAAGGTCTTCCTGTTAACTGCCTGTATGTGTGTGGGGGAGGGGGGGACTTGACCCAGAGCCTGGGCAATATCTCTTAGCTTTTTTTGCTCAAGGCTAGTACTCTACCATGTGAGCCACAGCTCTACTTCAGCTTTTTGGTGGTTAATTGGAGGTAAGAGTTTCATGGACTTCATGGACTTAGTTGTCCAGTCTGGTTTTGAACAGCAATCTTCTGATCTCAGCCTTCTGAGGGAAGGGAAAAGCCAGCCTGTCTAGGACATGGGCTATGTTAGCAACCCTGAGGGTTGCAGGCATGAGCCACGGGCACTCGACTTCCTGTTGACAATTCTAGTAGCATCCCTTGCTACATGTGCCACATGTGTGCTGTGGACCAGGAACTTTATTATTCAGAGTCTCACAAGTCCCACAGGCTCAGTAACAACTATCACACTCAGTCATGGAGGCTGAATTAATCTATGTACAACGAGGTGTTCAGAAAAGATTCCAATTCTTCTATCATTACTATATAAGAATGACAAGGTACAGTGCATTGGGCACTATACCAACAACTCTGCAAAGAAGATATTACTAGTTCCTAGTCTTACAGATGAGGACAGTGAGGCTCAGGTAAGCTGAATAACTTGCATAGGCAAACATTTGTTGCTTTGTATAAGAACTTTGTGTTGTAAGGACCATAGGGAGAGAGTAGAGGGTGCTGATCCCCTCTTCCCGTCTGTTTGAAAGAAGACTTCCATGAAGAGACCGTAGAACAGCCTGGCTGGGTGGGGCTGAGAGTTTCTTTTTTCTCCCACTGTTTGCAATTTTCAGACACAGCCTTGTTCTTGGTGCAAATTCCTTTGCCCTATGTCCAGCACAGTCGCTTCTGAGTCTGTAAAATATTTATACGTGTAGTGCTTCTGAAGCAGGAGAGAGGAAAAGCAATGTGGCACACAAATTAATCTCGGCGTTCTGCTTCTCACCTACGGCTCTTCTGCCACCCATGAGTGAGGAGATCCTGCTGGTTTGGGGATCACTCAGGGCATCTTTGAGTGGTCATGAACGTGGTCTGCCACACCTTTCTCATAGCACTTTTGTGGTGTTCCTTCTGTCCATTAGTAGTTGAAAGCCTACTCCCTTTTTATTATACATAGGAAGTTGCCTTCCACACTCATTTCCTTAGCTTACCTCAACCCCTGACTTAATTTCTAATTCATAAATAGCTTTGCTGACAGTGCCCTGTCAGGATGAAGAACATTTGTAATGTAGAGCCACTACTGTGTTCTCAGACCTGTGTGTGTGTGTGTGTGTGTAACATTTAAATATCTTTTTATTTCTTTGCATTTTTAAATTGTTATTGTAAAGGTGATGTACAGAGGGGTTACCGTTACATAAGTCAGATAGTACATTTTCTTTTTGGATGGTGTCATCCCTTCCCTTTCTTTCTCCCCAGTTTTCCCCTCTCATCCCCTCCACCCCCGCCCCACCACAGATTGTCAAGTCCATTTTCAGTGTAGTGTCTAGTGAGTCCCACTGCCCTCCATTTCTGTGCCTCCCCCCTTACCCTCTCAAAGACAGAGAAACGAATATACGAGACAAAAGGAAAACAAAAACAGCAACAAAGAAAAAGCTGCTTGCTTCATTTCCTGGAGTTGGTTTTGATAAGTATTATTTTATATGATCAGATGCAAATAGGCATTGCGCCTTTGTATTCCTCTCCTAAGAGTACCTTTTTCTTTTGACACAAGTTTTCACTTGTCTTCAAACTTGGCTTCAAACTCGTGATCCTCCTGTCTCTTGTCTCTCATGTACTGGCATTCCAGGTATGTATTACCATGCCTAACTCAGTCCCTTTCTTTCTGTCCAGTGAAATGTGATTAGTGAAATGACTGTGCATTCTAGGCTGCACTTGAGCTGTGGGCTGAGCGTCATTGAAGCAGAATCCACCGTTTATTCTGCAACTGTCCTCCTGCAGTAAATCCCATGGCCACCTGGGCTGTCACTCTCCTTTCATGTGGCATGAATTGGTTGATTTCTTCAGCTAATCTGAGACAAGCTGAGTGATTATGGCTTCACTTTTGTTGTCTGTTTTTTTTTTCTTTTTTCTTTTTTCAGGTGCCCCATTAGGGAACAGAGAAAAGGGATGATCTCATGAGTACACAGATCACAGGAGAAAAGCCCCAGACAGTTACGAGTCCCCAGTGGACCATCAGTCTTCTCCAGGCTGCACCAGCACTCCGGATGGCATCTTGTGCTGTCTGGAATGGTGATTTATGCAGCCCCAGCATTGCTTCCTGCAGGGGGTCCTGCAGGTGGGAGGGGTTACCTCCTCCTCTCTTCCTTCATGTCAGCCTCAGACCTGGTTCTCGCTGTGACAGGTTGCCATTTCTCTCTTAACACTTTCTTGCAGTGGTTTTACTGCACGGTGTGGGAAGAGGGAATGAAGGAGAGTGAAAAGGAGGGATGCACGGATTCTTTTGGATCTTGTCATTTTCTACTCTATAAAAATTACTACACACACACACTTTTCTTGGGAGAAGGGAAGGTGTGATTGTCTCATTTTTACTATGAAGTAAAATATATTCCTCTCTCACCTCTGGGAAGATTATGTGTCTAGATTTATTACTTGGTGTGTTTATTTGTTTATTGCTGCCATAAGGATTCACTGTTGAGTCATTACTTAGGCAGTTGGGTAGGTGCTGGAATCTAACCTAGAGGAAATTCAAGAAGGGATGGATTAAAATGCAAGGCAATGTTATCTGCTCTTCTTCCTCTTCCTGCTCTTCTTCCTTCTCCTCCTCCTCTTTTGCCACCTTTTCTGCCTTCTCTTCCTTTTCCTTATCTTCTTCTTTGTGTGTATGTGCCTATATTGGGGCTTGAACTCTGGCTCTCTCTTTTTCAACTCAACTGTTTCACTCATGACTGGCATACTATCCCTTGAACCACACTTCACTTCCGACTATTTACTTGTTAATTGGAGATGAGAGTTTCTTGGATTTGTCTTCCCAGACTGGTTTTGAACCTCCGTTCTCAGATATCAGCCTCTTGAGGAGCTAGGATTTATAGGCATGAACTTCCAGTGCATGACATATTTTCTTACCTAATTGTATCTACTGTCTGTCTATTTATCTACCTGTCTGTCTTGGTGTTCATAAGAGGCCTTGGAACTTGGTAATGGTTGAATTTGTGGTTGAACAAATGATGCCCACTGAGTCTGAGATTGTGGGCTAAATTTAAACCTCTGCCTTGATTAAAACTCGGCCCTGTCATACCTTTTGAGCTCAGTTCATTTGGACAGTTCATTTGTGCCATTTCATTATCTGTGTACTCAGGCATTCTTAATGGGCTGAGTTATCTTCACTTATTTAGTATGAACACACTGAGATTAAAAACGCTAAAGCAAATATATTTAGTCTTAAAATGTTTTACTTGAGCTCAAGCCACTAAGATCATTGAAAAACACTTTAGGAAATGAATAGGAATTGAAACTACAAACTCATTTAGAATTATTATTACTGTAAAATGACCCTTCTGTGTATGCACACTTATACACATATGTGTTGAAAAGTCAGAGTTTTTAAATGATAAATGATAATTGGATGAGGAGATAAATATCTGAATCTTGATTTGAGCATTCCATTGTATTATATCTATCAAAACATCTTGATACCCCACAAATATGTACAGTTTTTACTCCCCAGTTAAAAGTGTTTAAAAAATGATGGTCCTAATTCAAGTAAGTTTGGGTACCTGTAGGAGAGTCTTTCTTTTCTCTTTTTTCCCACTCCCTCTTGCCTTCTCTTTGCTTCTCTCTCTCTTTTTCTTTATCTCTCTCTCCTTCTCTCTCCCCTTCTCCCTCTCTCTTTCTCTCTTTCTCTCTCTCTCCCCCATCTCTCTTTCCTTCTACCTCTCCCTGTCTCTTCTTTTTTTTTGGTCCGGTCGTGGGGCCTGAACTCTAGGCCTGGGCACTGTCCCTCAGCTCTTCAGCTCAAGGCTAGCACTCTACCACTTGAACCACAACACCACTTCCGGCTTTTTTCTTTTTTGCTTATGTGGGGCTGAGGATTCGAGCTCAGGGCCTCATGTGTGCAAGGCAAGCACTCTACCACTGAGCCACCTCCCCAGCCCCTCCACCTTCCCAGCCCCTCCCTGTCCCTTCTTAACCTGGTAGGTAGTACTGGAGTTTGAGCTGAGAGCCTTGTACTTGCTTGGCTTGTTTGCTCAGCTGCAATCTGCCACTTGATCTGTGCCTTCTGCCTGGCTTTTTGTTAGTTTGGAGATGGAATCCCACAAACTTTTCTGCTGGGACTGGCCTCAAACCATGATCCTCTGGATCTCAGCCTTCTGAGTATCCAAGAGGATAGGTATAAGCCAGTGATATCTGGTTGAGAGCTATTTTTACTTCTTTCTAATGATGTTTTGCTTTAAGGAATTAGTTCAAGCCATCCGTAACTTCAT